TAGATGCACACAATTTCCAACAGCTCCTTCGGAAAAGAATATAGCTTGCCAGCAAATTGAAGTTGATTCATTGTCCATAAGAGAACTATCTCCTTCAGAATTTTTTCCGACAAGTGAATACGGTTCAGAAGCAGTACATTTTGTGACACAAGCGGACTTTAATGACTTGGTTCGCGATGCTAAAATGTCAAAAGAGTCGGCAGAAATAGTGGGTTCTCGTTTAAAGCAAGCTGAAGGCGATATTGCTTCATATTGGAAATGAATATCCATCGGTACCAATTGCTTACGCAACTTGTATGGTTGAAACGTACGAAAATATGAAAATAATTTTGGATTCAATAGACTACAAGAAACACACATGGATAATTTGTTGTGATCTTAAAGCTATCTTTCCAAAAATGAGCGAAGCTAAGATCACGGCGGGTAAGTGCTTAATGTCTCTCTTTTCATTATTTAGTTTTTAATTGTTCCTCTCTTCAAGGTGTTTGCAATGGTCCACAAATCAAACAACTGTTAAGCAGAGTAGACTTTCAAAATATGCTTAGTCCCATAGAAAAAAGAGCATGGACCGCGTTCATAAACGTTATAAATAATTTTTTGGGAAACAAGAGGGAAATTGTAGAAGATCTGATTGCTTCGTACCATGCGATGGTAGTCAATATGTCCCTCAAAATACATTTTCTTCACAACCCGCCGAACTTAGGCGACTTCAGCGACGAGCATCGCGGAAATTGAAAAGAGGTACAATGGCAAAGACATGAGGTATATGCTGGCTCAATACTGTTGGTCAGACAAGAACCGATATGTATAAACGTCAAAATGAGCGTACCAAATTTTCAAATTAATTTAACTGTTAAGTTTTACCTTTTAATTTACAACTATAAAAATTGCATTTTTAATGTTTAATACTCCAAAAATTGAATTGCTCGTAAAAAGCTTAAATGAATTGATCTAGAAAAACTGGGAGATACGTATATTTTATTTTGAGCTATATTTTCAGAATTTTGTCAGTTTGATCATGGGTGAAAAATCGTATCGTACAGTGTTATGAATATATATACTTTATGGGGTCTAAGACGAATATTTAAGGATGTTACAAACGGAATGACAAAGTTAATATACCCTCCTTTCCAAGTCGTAGATGGAACTCTGAAATTTGGCAAAAGAATTAATATAAATGGTATATGTTGGTCTAAATTTGGATGTAGCACCCATATACCCCACTTTGAAGGTTTTTCCCCAACTTTCAACTAAAATGTCTGCAACTTCAGAGTTCGGGTTCTCAGTGGGTAGTTTAACTCCTTCAACAGAGACTAGACATGTTCTTTATAAACCCCTGTTACCTACCGTGCTACATTTATTTGTAACAAGCAAAAATAAACGAGATTGGCCCATATTTACTTCTTATGATCTCCATATAATCACATTCTGAGTCGATTTATGCATGTTCGTCTGTCAACAAACAATTTTTTTGGCCCAAGGTTGAGCCATATTGAACTTGGTGATATTCGGTCCAAATTAAAATACAGTTCCCTAATATATCTTCGTCCAATTTCAATTTTATTGTGCACCAAATGTGTAATATCAGCCCCAATTGCATAGATTTAGGCACATACGACCAAATTCAGCCTAGAAGCAAGTATGTCAAAATTGGTAAAAAAAAAAACGGTTCAGATATTGCTATAGCTCCCATGAATCTGTTTCAAGCGATTCGATTTTGTATCGTGTGATACACTGCAAGATTTAAGCTCCGGGATATTTCAATGAAGCATATAATTGTGTACGTGATAGTGCGATGCACTCTATCTGCATGATGGATATGTTGTTAACACAGGCAGCAAATCGGGAATCTCTGCCCACTCAATATATCGTAATATATTGATATGATCCTTATAAAGACCAAAATTTGTTTCAAATTCTCTTTTTTCTTTTGGTGTTTTGTTTTCTCCAATGTTTGCGTATATTTCATCAAATCTCACATGTTGTATTTGGGGTATCATTTAGTCAGTCTCGTCCTACCTGATCCATGGTTCTTTAAAACCTATACAACGTCAGGCCTTTATATGAATTAGGTCGATAGACTTTTAACATTTTACGGCAGTCGATGACTCAATTTTTATACACTCAGTGATATGGACAAAAACGGACGTAATCGAAATAGACCCTAAATCTCTTTGGACCAAATCCGTTTCAGGACATTTGGATTCGATCTTGGGGTGTCCGTTTGTCTGCCTGGATGGTGCGCACGATAACTTTCGAAGGGAGTATGCGATTTGGGGAAACTTTGTACATCGGAATATTATTGACAAACTCAGATCGAGTTCCAAAATGGGCAACATCGGTCCACTGCTTCTGGTACCTACCCCAAAAAAGGTCAGAATTTTCAAAGAAAATAATTTACCTTAGAGATAGAGACAGGGTCATCAAATTTTATGGATACTTTGCAAATACTAATATTTTTGTCAGTGCTAGGTCATATCGACACCTTCCAGCACCTCTCTCCCTCACAAAAGGTCAAAATTTGGACTAATACAACTCTTATAGAATGTGATGCAGGAGTCCGATTATCTTCAAATTAAACACATCATACTATTTTTATTAACACAAGGTCTTTTGTTAAGATGGAATAAATTGGCCTACTCCTACTGGTACCTTCCCCACAAACGGTCAAAATTTTGAACATCCATAAAGCTCATAAAACGCGAAGTTAACATCCGACAAACTCGGGACATCTCAATATTTCTATCAACACAAAATCTGTTGTGAATATGGTTGATATCGACTCACTCTTTATGGTACCTCCCCCACAAAGGGTCAAGATTTTGAATAACCAAAACGATTCATTCTAAGCTTAATGCATTCCAACATTTTCGCTAATAAAAGATCTAGTGTGAAGATGGAATGTATCGTTTCACTCTACTGGTACCTTCCCCATAAAGAGTCAACATTTTGCCTAACAAGTCATCAATTTCCATCAAACTTGGTGTATCTCAATGTATCTCAATAGATCTAAATGATATTTCGGTTAAACTTTTGAATGTTCGATTTTTCGGAACAGTGTTGGCTTGTTTGTTCGGGATACCACAGTATTTTGTTGTTGCAAAATGGCCAGGTTTAATCCCTTTATTGTTGTTTTTATAAAAACAACGTTTGTTTATTAGTGGAGAACGATGGTAATGTTTACCAGGGGGTAAGGCAGGGAATACCTAGGTTTCGGAAAGAGACACCAATCCTCATCAGTTCCCTTGTTTTTTGTCTGGGATATTCTCCCCAGAAATTATTTTAAAAATAACTTCTATGAAAAAAAAAACTTTTTTTGACGAGTGACGAGGTTGTAAGCTCAATAGAAGAGGAACCAAAGAATTGCATTAATTTTCTTTAAATTTTGCACATCCCAATATTTTTATCAGTATTAGACGAGGTGGCATACTTCGGTCCACTTTACATATGTTTTTAGACAGCAAACTTAACTGTCAGATGGGCTTCCTGGCTGAGCTTATATAGGCTATACCCGGGAGAAGATTGAAGATTGAAATGAGGACATGATCAATGAAATATATACAAATTTAAATCCAACAAGTTAAAAAGCTGTAAGTTCGGAAGGCCGACCTTTGAATACCATCCACCATTTGGAACGAGTTTGGAAATTTTCGAAAAAATAAAATCAGTTACAAATTCTGTTAAAATCTTAGGCTGACATAGGATGTAGTAACCATTACGAACTTCAAATACCAAATTTGAATCAATCCCGAATATTTGGAGTACAATTATATGGGGACTAGTCGAAGACGTGGACCTGCATATACAATTTTCTGTAATAGGCTGTAGTATCCATTATGAACTTCAAATACCAAATTTGAAACACTTCCGGTAAATAATGTAGCTAAAGTCATCAAAGTACCGAATATCGGGAGTTACCGTTATATGTGGGCTATACATGACCCATTTTCAATGTCAAAAGTTCTGCAGACATAAGTAAAAGCAAGTAAAATTTTATCAACCTACTTCATTGCGTTCGAAAGCTATAGAGATTTCCACAGACGGACAGACCGACGGTAATAGCTAAAACGATATAGAATTCGATGCTGTTCAAGAATATATATACTTCGTGGAGTTTAAAATGTATATTTCGAGGTGTTACAAACGGAATGACAAACTCAATATACCCTCCATACTATGGTGGAGGGTATAACAAGTAAGTTAAGGCTATAGTTGTCGAAAAAATCGCATGCAATAAAAAATATTCACTTTTTTTGGCATATTTTTGCGCGAGTTTCTTCGATTTTATTCTTTTTGGCAAGAGGCCAATCCGAACTGTTGAGAATTGTTAAAATCAGTCCAGTGGTTTTTGACTTATAAGCGGTATAACTAACATGAGTTTGTTGTACATATAGTTTGGAACTATTTTGTTATGTACGCGATATCTAGGCTAGGGATTAAAAATATTCACAGTTTAGTGGAAATTTTCGTATTGTTTTCACATAAAAGTTATGATCTATTTTACCCGATAAATATTGTCCGATGACCAAACAAAATGTTAGGCTTCTGCCAAGCCCTAACTTTTAGCCCCATGCTAAATTCCTCGTCGATTGGTCTATAGTTGCGATCTGTAGAGCAGCTGCAAAATCTATTTTTTTTTTTTTGTCTTTGATCCACTTCAACCGATCAACTTCAAAAACAAGAGGGTTCTATTCTCACCCTAAACCCACCTCTATTATCAATTTCGTGAGGGTCGGATCATAATTTGCGTCCTGTAGCACAACAATTAATCATGGGAAGACGGAGAGGCGAGCGGACGGACATACATTGCTAAATCGACTCAGCTCGGCGAGATAGCAATATCCCTACATAGATTGCTATGTCGAGAATCAATATTTCGAGGTGTTACATAGTTTTTGGCACAATCAAACTTATAATACCCCCAACACATAGCGTTGTAGAGTATAATTACAGGCTAAAATAGATAATTATACAAAATGGATTACATTTTATGAACTCACCGGTTTCGTAACATTTCCCCTCTCTATGGGCAAAAGAGGTGGTAACGTTGTTTCATTTAATTTCATCCGATTCAAACATTGGGCAATGCAAACTTCTTGCGGCAAATAATCGAAGTCATGTTTGTGTAACTTTTTCGCCAGACCCTCGGAAAGGCTGGAATTTTGCAGACCAAACCAAAAGAGAATTGTATTTGTGTAATACAGCAGCAACATTGTCAACGATGGTGATCCAGAAAAGAATAAATCGGGTCCCGCAGAGCAAAAACGAAAACGTGACCACCAAAAGGGCAGTTCAATATATATCCCAATTGTGAGATGTTAATTTGGAGTTGATGGTATTTTTTCTTATTTCATTTTAATTCGTTTTCCTTTGCCGTTTCTTTTCCTGACTTTATTTTAGGCTTTTTCTCTTTTCTTTATTTATTGAATATTGTAATTTGTAATTTGTATTTTGTTTTTTTTTTATTTTATTTCTGTCACACTACCTACTTAGGTATTTGTACAAAAAACCAACAAAAAGTAAATAATTAATAGATATGCGTGTTTGTTTAGACATTTGCACATTCAAACATACATCCATGCGTATATACGTATTTATGGCAACGACCTTTGCATTTTGATTGCACAAATGACCATTTAATTAAAATATCTTTGATTTGAAGAAATTTTAATTTAAATCAACAGCTCCAACAAAAAAAAAACAATCGTTTTTGTTGCTCACTTTTTTCCTTGAAACCGATATTAAGGAAAGTTTTCACAATCCTTTACTAGGTCATAATTATATGGTGAAGACACAGGACTTTTTCAACATTACTGCTTTCGTATTTCAAATTTCATTGTTTAAAATTCACATCAAAAGAACTTTTAATTAACTATTCACTTTACATTTTTCTAGAAATTCTATTTACATTTCACAATTTAAACAAACCCTCGATACAAAAAAAATTTACTGAAATTTAGTAAATATTTGCCCTTGTCATGTTCAAATACCGTATTGGTTGTTTTTCAGATTCTCACTTTGGCAGACAGCGACAGCCACAGTTCGAGCCGTTCTTCGCGAATTGACGTTTGATTTACTTTTGCGGTTGTTCCACGTTACAGCGACGACCACTGAATGTGCGAACGACAAGAATGTCAAACGAAATCCATGGTTTTTTTTTTTTTTGGGTTCATGTTATTCTTTGATTTGTCTGCTTTTATTGTTTTTGTCTCGTTGTCTCTTTTGAATTGTTGCATATGCATGAGGACACCAGGTACAGTGGCTCCAAACCTGCAATGAAATGAGAAGGGTATTCAAATGTTTCACAAGGTGGGTCGACATTAAATGCATGATAAAACAAAAATTGAAGTTAACAAGTTAAAAAGTATCCGTCGGTTTTGCCGACAGATATTTACTCCCATTATTCGAACGGTTGACCTCATGGGGCAGGTTCCGAAGGAGTGGGCCAATATTGTCCATTTCGTTTCTGACCTAAGGTGATATAAATATTACAACGAATCAGATTTGAGCTATATCGATTACTTTACTCACATTTTATGAGATATGTGTATTTTTTGAAAAATTTGAAATACAGGGTGAGATGAAAAAACTGCAACAAGCTTCAAACTGCTGTCATTTCTAAGCCACACTTCTAAAAGCTGTTAAAATTATTCCAGTGACAGCTCATTATATTGTTAACAAGCGTACAAAAGCATTTTGGTCAGAATTTTCCAGAAAAAAAGTTTTTCGAGATGTTATTCAAGAGTGATAGTGTGATTTCTTTATATTTGGCTGGAAAACCACAAGTGGCTTTCGTAAGAGCACTCCAGCATATGAATGTGAATAAATCTTTTGTCTCACGTACCATCGCTCGTTACCGTGAAATGGACGGAAGAAATAAGCAACATCAGCAGAAATGGTTCGAAAAGTAAGGAAGCGCATTTTGGCCGCAGACCTTGGACATTCCAACATGACTCAGCACCGTCGCATTCGGATTATCCGTTCCCTGTCACGCGCCACCCAAGAATGGTTACAAAATGATGTTCTTCGCACAATGGCCACCAAAATCTCCGGATACCAATCCGTTGGACTATTGTGTCTGGAGTATTTCGGAAAGCAAGGTTGGCACTAAAAGCAAGCAAGCGCTTCGCCGGGAATGGACCAAAATACCGCAGAGCAAAATTCGGGCAGCGTGTGACGGTTTCATTGGACGCTTGAAGGCCAACATTCGTGCCAATGGTGACCGATTCGAACAAATCTAAACTTATTCTAAAATTTGATGCTATTTCCGACATTTTTGCTTTCATTCAATAAACTTAAAAAAAATTAAAAATTATGTCGTTTGACTTTGTTGCAGTTTTTTTATCTCACCCTGTATGCGTGAGTTAACAGATATAGTGAACCGAATTATTCCACTTCATCATATACTGATGAAAATATTGGGATGAGTAAAATTCTTCAAATTAATTATTCAAAATTCAAAATTTTGTCGGGTAGGTACCAAAAGGATTGGTTCCGTATCTACCATCTGTACACCAGATCTTGCTTAATTAGAAGTATTGGGTTGTATGAAATTTCAAAAGAATCGGATGCTCATTTCTCGTTTTAAGAGCTTCATGTTGGCCCTTTGTGAGGGAGTTACCAAAAGGAGTGGACCGATATATCCCATATTCACACCAGACCTTGGGCTAATAAAAATATTGTGATGGGTGTAATTTAAAGACAATCGGACTACCACATCAAATTTTATACGGGTTATAATTATTAAAAATTTTGACACTTTGTGGGGGAGGTGCTGACATTGTCCATATTCGCACCGGACCTAGAGCTGATGCAAATATTAGGAATTGCAAAGTTAGAGCAAAATCGGATTATCCGTTCACTGTGTGTGCAATAAATTATTTTTTTTAAATTTTGATCTCTTGTGTGGGAAGTACCAGAAAGAGTGGACCGCTATTGCTCATCTTCGCATCAGCCGGACAGACGGACGGACGGACATCGCTAGATCGACTCCAAATGTCCTGAAACGGATTTGGTCCAAAGAGACCTGGGGTCTAAAACCTTTATTTCGTCCAGGCAAATGATATATACCCTCTCTGGCCATATGGCTAAGGGTTTAAAAAATAAAAGTATCGGGATTTAAAATTCGATCGAGTTTAAAATCGGTTGAAGATTGCAGTTAACGTCATCAAAATTCTATAAAATGGGCGTTACCGTTATTTAGGGGCTGCACCATATAACGAATGGACCGAACTTTTTATACCCTCCACTATGTGAAATCGCTATTAGTTAAATTCCCTTAAATTAAAAAGCTATATCTGCCTCATAATTCTAGTTGTTTTTCGATGAATACCTTATGGATGGATAAAAAGGGAGAGAGTGAGAGAGAGGAGTACATATGGTCTACTGCTAGATTATATACCGATATATTGAAATATAATTCAAGGGCTTTATGTCTGTGACTTTTACATATTGGGAATAAAAACATATTTAATTCCAGTTGACACATCACAATAGAGTCTTATATAGAATTTCCAAATTAAATGGGCAGGGTTGAAAAGCAAAATTATTCATCTGACTTAATAAACAGATTCCCGGTTCGCAACTTAAGTGATTTTTAACACCATATCCATTGTGTTGTTAGGGAAGTCTTGTTGAGTAGACTGTTGAAAATTTCGCTCTATCATGTACCCAACGTTATGATCCGTTAAAGGTTGCTGAGTTGAGCTCTTACAGTGCCTCGAACGATATCATTCAATTTAATAATGAGATGATTTACTTTTAAATCTACTACAAATAACAATGTATTTTTGAAAAAAAAATTCATTTTATTTGTGAAAAGGTTTCGTTTTAAGTGGAAATAGTTTAGTTTCCGCTGAAAGAGATGTCATTCATTAATCTTAAAAGGTTTCATTCGAAAGATTTCATTTAATTTGAAATTCTATATACAAACGTTTTACATTAGGATTTTTAGCTCAGTTTTATATCAACACTTGTGGTGAGCTCCAAAAAGTATGCAATAAATGTAGTAAATATGAATGTGTAAAAATGCACTTTATATCTGACTCTTACATGATCTGCCCGATATTCGGTATTTAGATGATTTTGGCGACATTATTCATCGATTTTTTTCCAAGTTTCGCATTTGAATATTGTATTGGCATATGACAAAAGTTACCTATGCAGGTCCACGTCGTCGTATATACCCTAATATAATGGCGACATTTGGTATTTTTAAGATTTAAACAGCATTTTTAACGGATTTCATTTTTTTGAAAATTTCCAAGTTTGTTCTAAATGCTGGAGTGTATTCAAAGTTCGGCCCGACTGAATTTACAGTTTTTTTGTTTGTTTTTTTTTTTCCTCAAAAATATATAATTTATTTCCTAGTCTTTCATTAAATTTCACCTTAAACTGTTTAACTTCTTTGCAATATAGTATCGGCCTAGAGGTGTGTTTGTGTATGTGTGTGTTACTTCTACAAAATATTGTTTTATGATAATTTCAAACACAAAATAATAATAGAATAACACCAAATGAATAATTCATATTTCATTTCCAACTACTAAATATTCAGCCCAAATTTCGAAAACTATGCTGTTAATAATCATTTGTAACAATAACATAATCTCTTTAATTATCGTACGAAATATTGCTGATGTTTTTGAGATTTCAATGAATATGTTTTTTCCGGATTATAGTGGATTTTCCACAAACATGAACTGCATAACAGACGGATGTGGTTGTTTTGCATGATTGAAGTCGTGTCTAATTAAATCTGAGTGCGTTATTATAAAATCCAAAATGTAAATGTATCCGGTATAAATACGTTCTGAAAATGCAGCATACACTTCAACTGTTGTTCCTAACCAAATGCGATATTTAATTTTCAAAAAAATATCTATTAATTTCTGGCAGCTTATTTAGTAAGTAGGTTGATGATTTTTTCCTGAACTATGTTTATGTACAATATCAAGATTAGATAGATCCTGGGTATGCTTAATATTGCAGAGGGTCAATTTTGGTCCACAGATAAGATAAGACTGGATTTTTGGAAATTCGTATTAAAATATTACAAAAAGTACTAACATATACTAAAAAATTAATATTTTGTATTGAATAAAAGGAATGAGCTAGAATTTCGAAATTTGAAATGAGTGTCACTGATGGAGTGTTGTATAGATGTTTCAATGCATTGTTCGAAATTCGAAATTTAAAGTTAAGAAAAGTTCTTTGATATGAGAATCAAGAAAGTAAGTTTGGTATTTAAGGTTGGTTTTGGAAATGTGTAGTAAGTGTGCACTAAATGGTACTAAATTTGGAACAGTTTAGCTTAGGCTGAATGGATGAAGTAGGAATTTTGAAATTTTCTATTGGAGTCTCTGTTGGTGGTAAGTTTGTAATTAAACAAAAACTAAATAGTACTATATTTGATACAATTTGGTATTGACTGAACAGATAGTGGTTGATATCTGAAATTTGGTATAAGGATCGCTGTTGGACATATGAAGGTGGTTTCGAAAAAATAATTGTATGAAAAGTACTAAATGGTTCAATATTTCGTGTTGGGTGAAGGAATAGAGATAAAATTTTGAAATTTGATATAATTGTCACTGTTGGTATCTGTGGTTAAGATTGAGGTGGTTTTGGAAATGTCTTCTATAATTGTTCGAAATGTATTAAGTGGTATAAAATTGGGTATTGGTTGAAGAGATAGAGCTGGAATACCGAAATTTAATATTGAAGTCGCTGATGGTATCAGGACTTAAGATATGGAGGTGGTTTGGAAAAGTGTACTACAATTCTACGAAAAGTACTAAATAATATTAAATTTGGTATTGGGTGAAGGGATAGAGCTGAATTCGTGGTATTTGATATGGATGCCACTGTTGGTGTTTGTGATTGAGAGAAGGAGCTGGTTTTGGATATGCGTACTATAAGTGTCCTAAATTTGGAACAATTTAGTTCAGGGTGAACGGAGGAACCTGGAATTGAGGTCCTTGTTAGTAGTAAGTTTGTGATAAAAATGTGGTTTCGAAAATGTGTACTACAACTACATGAAGAGTACTAAATAGAACTATATTTGTTACAATGCCTGAGATCTGAAATTTGGTATTTGGGTCGCTGTTCATATGTTCATATGTACCATAAAAGTACTGAATGGTACTACATTTGGTATTGGGTGAAGGGATAGAGATAAAATATCTAAAATATAACTGATGGCATCTGTGTTTGGTATCTGGGACTGAGATATGGGTGTGGTCTTGAATTTGGGATTCGGTTTAGGACAG